TCAATGTGTTAATTCATATTTCTGAGGCATTTAAAGTAGTATCTGGCACACAGTAAGTGCTACATTGCTAACATTAAATGTATGAACATTTGCTTTCCATCCATTTCCAACTTTATAGAATTAAGTTTTTTTTTTTTTTTGAGACAGGGTCTTCCTCTGTCACCCCGGGTAGAGTGGCATGATCATAGCTCATCACAACCTTGAACTCCTGGGCTCAAGCGATCCTTCTGCCTCAGCCTCTCGAGTAGCTGGGACTACAGGCTCGAGTTCACCATGCCCAGCTAATTTTTCTTTTCTTTTTAGGAGTGATGGAGTCTCACTCTTGCTCAGGCTGATCTCGAACTCCTGACCTCAAGTGATCTTCAGCCTCTCAGAGTGTTAGGATTGCAGGCATAAGCCACCTCACCTGGCCTAGAATTAAATTCCTAGTGGTCATTAGCTAGGGAATAAATGTAGATCCAATTATAACCACAGCAGCTGCTAGATTTAAGAAATATTTAAAAACATCTGTACCCCCATAATATGCTGAAATAAAAAAAAATATTTAAGGAGAAATAAAAGGTTCAGAAAGGAAAATATCTAATATTTATTATTAGGAAAAACAAAACACAGGTTACATTTAACCACACAAAATACAGTTTAAAAAAAAAGAATTGGGGTGGGGCGGACCCCGTGGGTAGACAAATAGAGCACAAGTGTTTTATCTAAGCATCCCCTGTAGCTCTTGGGAATGCATAATTACTAACTTAACTGAGCATCACCCTGGAAAATCAGATACTTGTTACTTAGAATGATGGAGAATACAGACTTGTTTTTTCTAATGCCCTAGGCATGCCCAGGCCCGGCTTTTACTTGCAGACAGGAGTTTTCAGAGCAGGGAGAGCCGGGGCGTCATGAGCAGTAATGTCCTGAATTGCACCAAAACCCTCCCCTGCACCTTTGGTCCTGCGTTCTTCGCCGCCTTCCCCTGGTTCTTTGGCATCTCGGTGGTCCCAGGGAACGCGGCTGGTGCGAAGGGTCCCCTGTGTCGTCAGCGTGTTCACGCGTCCTCGCCGCACCTTTGCAGGCAAGGAGCAGATCCTCCTGCAGAAGGACTATGAGTCCGTGTCGCTGAGCGAGCTGCGGGCGCTGCTGCGGAAGCATGAGGCGTTCGAGAGCGACCTGGCTGCGCACCAGGACCGCGTGGAGCAGATCGCTGCCATCGCGCAGGAGCTCAAGTACGTGCGACGCCCAAGTCCTCCCCGGGGGCTCCGAGGACTCCATGGAGAGGGGCAAGGGAGGCTGCCTCTCCTTCCCTGTGCCACATGCCGGGAGAACCAAACTGTAGGATTCTTACTGTTTTTTTAAAATACATAAACAGACTTTAGCTTTGGCTTTTGGTTGTGGTAGATTCCCTGTGCCCTCCCGTCCAGCAGTACCTTAGCCCCAGGTAGGCACCTCTGCTGCAGAGCACCGGGGCACAGAAGGCTATGAGGGGGCCTGGCCCAGGCCAGGTGCAGGAGGCGGAACCCGCAGCCTGTCCAGAAACCAGCACAACACAGAGCTCACCAGCTCACCTATTCCTTGAGATGCTGGGGCCCCGCTTGTCTTTATCATTTAATAAGCGCTGTTTCATCTTCATGTTTTTTGTTTTATGGGAAGAATTAGCATGCCGATGGAGGCCAGGCTGGGTTGAGCACTGAGTGGACAGTCTTGGTCCCTGCTCTGTGCTGCGCGAGCTGTGGGATGTGGCTGCCTGCAGGGAGAGGGGCGTCCGCACAGTGTTTCTGAGCTTTTTTGAAAGGTCTTTTTTCCCTTTTGATAAATACAAAATTTTATTCCCTATTCCTTTCCACTCCCCCCACCTCCCTCTGTTATAATCACTGATACAGCTGCAGAATTTTTTAGAGCCTGTCACATATGGTAACTTTAAAAATTAAGTAATAAAAATTTATTTCAATATATTACTTTTA